CATTTTAACATCGCGCACGATGGAGCGGATCACGCAAAAGATGGAATCGCTCCGTCTGCCCGTCGAACAGCGGCAACGGCCCGTGCCTCCGCGGACGATGCCGGCGAAGTGGTTGGCCGCCAGCAACGTGCGGTCGTTGTCCTTGTACGTGAAGCCTGTCGCGTACCACAAAGGCATCAAAATCATTTCCCGATTGAACAAGTACTACTTAAAACGTGACCCGGAGCGTTTCAAGCGGTATGTGGACGTCTACGGGTACATCCTGATGAACAACGAGGTCGCAAGGTTTCGGGCCAAGAAGGAGATCGAAAGCCTCTACGGGAACTTTATCGACCAAATTTCGTGAGGAGAGACGAAACCGCCGACACGTCCGCATCGCTTTTCGCGTGTTCTGCGTTCCAACGCCCTACTTGTATTACGATCCAGGTCCGGCCAATTTGTATTTTTGTATATTTATTATTATTATTATACAGTTGTAAAACATATGTGTATGTGTTTTATTATTTTGCGCAAAGAAAAAATAAAAATAAAAACATTTATTGTTCGGTTATTGCTACATATTTAATAAAATAAAACCAAAGATCATAAATAATACTGTTATTTATGAGATGTTAATCTAACTGGTTTAGCACTCGATATCGATACGTTATTTACGGGGGAAACACGTTTGAATCAGAAACGTTAAGGTGCGTTTGCATTACGGCCGCGAACGCGAACGAACGCAAACGCAAAAAAAAAAAACTTGATGTAGCCATTATTCTTTATTTACAAAAAAATTAGCCATTTGCGCTTTAATTTTTCATTCATCTTTTGTTCAATCTTGGGAGACACGGAGAGAGATACAGAGAGAGAGAGAGAGAGAGAGAGAGAGATACAGATAGAGAGAGAGAGAGAGTGAGAAACGGACGATGCGCACTTACCGCTGACCTTAGAGTGTCCCAGACCCTTGAAATCGTCGCCGATCACCTTCAGCTGGCCCGCGATGGTCACGCACAACGTGACCATGAACGTGTCGAACAGTATCATGGACATGACGAAGCACAGGCCGAACAGCGACTCGAGCAGATGGAACACTAGGTGCCACTGGTTGTACGTGTCGCTGGACACGAAGAAGTACATGTTGTACGGATTGACGCGGTAGCTGCTAAACGTGCCGTCGTGGTTGCGGACGTGGATGTACGCGTCGCCGGCCATGAACGGGATGGTGGACCACAAGAACAGTATGCTGTAGTTGACCACGGAGAACCACCGGGTGAACGCGGACGACACGGCGCGGCAGCGGTGCAGATGCCCGGTGGCCGGACGGTCGTAGCGGCCGTGGTGGCCAAGTGCGAACCCTGCGCGCGTCACGTCCATGCACGTCCAGATATCGCGGGATCGGCGCACCACCATGTAGCTCTTGTACGCGCCGAATAGGAAGTTGCTGTACAACGCCACCTGGATCGTGAGCTGCGTCGTGTCGTTGGCCCACCGGTACAGGCCGACGGGGTACAGCGATAAACAGGCGGCCGTGAACGCGATCATCACTGCGGCCACCACGTGCGACGCGTTCCGGCCGCACACCGTGGCCGTGTCCGGCCGCACGATGTAGTACAGCCCGGTGCACTTGGCCAGCGTCGGGCACACGATCGAATCCCCGTCGTTCGACGGGTTCAACAGCATGGCCGCGGACGGAAGGACAGCGGTCGTTTCTGCGGGATTCGGAATGGGGTGGGGGCGTTAATATTCGACCACGGCGACCATCATCAGGCTCCCGTCAAAAAAAGCTCTATCGAACAGGTATATTCCTTAACGACTCAAGTTTTTCACTACAAAAATTTCTTCCCGTTTTGTACAGACTTGAAAGGCTGAGTGTTTTGAAAGGGGTGTAAAAAAAGGGGTAAAAAATGTCTTGGTGTACACTAAGTGAATTAATAGAATTATACGAAAAATAAGCTTATAGTGTAATATGACATTTTTAATTTTTAATGTTAAATAAATGTAAAAAATGTTTGTCAAAATAAAAGTATAAAAAATATCATATATCGGGTAAATTTGTTACACACTATTAGATATATTTTCGGTATTCCGTTTTATTAATCTTGAATTTAAAGAAATGCGATGCACAGAAACTGAATATACAACAGCATTACGAGGAGCATAATAACATCGCGCTGCTATTATGTAGTCTGTTTTGGTAGACAGGCAAGTATACGTTTAATTATTGTGGTAGAGTTTACAATTATACCTGTTGGTACATTATTTTTTCCGACGGGAGCCGTTTAGAATCCGACGTGACCACCGTGGGTAGATCTAAATGTTTGTATTTTCTTCCGAATCAGTAAAAATTAATAAGTCAATTGATTTCCGCCTACGTTTTCCGTCGACAAACGTGTTTCGTAGTTACCCATGGACGAAGTGGTGGGTCGAGGGCGTGGTGCTCATGAAAAAAAACCGTTGATCAAACTTAGTCCAACTTCGGTTCTAAAAAACTGAGGGTTGCCAACGTACAAAGTATGGTCATGACTGTTGAGAGTTACAGTTGATAGACATTTAGGTTCGCCGACAAGAACGTTGTGTACAATCGTGTCGAATAATCATCACTTTTTTATGTTGTCGCGATGAAAAGGTCGGTCAAAACATCGGTGACATCATCGTGGACTTGAGATCCACCTGGTTTGGACGTGTCTGCCGTGCGGTGACATCGATCGCCAACGGTACACAACCGTCCGGTGATGCGATTAGGGTTTCGAAACAAACAGTCATTGATTTCGTAACTAGGTAGAAGCAATACAAACTCGGAGGAAGACGCGTATTACTGCGAGTGTTTTTTTTTTTTTTATATTTTCCACCTGCCTTCGGCTCTGTTCGCCAATCGAACACGTCCACCGGGGCTTAACACGTGTTTCAAAGGTAGTTCGAAAGCTTTGAAAACAACCCTAGCGGTACGCTCGACCTACGTGCTAAGTTCTCTTTTTATAAACGTTCACTTTTGTTAAGTGTTACGTATCCACGTGCGCTTCTTAGCGGTGTTCCGATGTTCGATGATGGAATATCGATTTAGTTTTCTACCTTACGATCGCTTTCGAAAAACAAAACATAAAAACGTTTACGTCTATATGTAGACGCATACATCATTGTCTCGAGAAAATCTGAGCGCAATGTGCCAGAATGGCATTGAGTAATTATTGGTGTTGCATGATTCGTTTGAGCATAATCATAAACAATAAAACATTATCGTTGAACTATATAAGTTGACAGAACGACGTTAAACATTATTGGAGCATGCGATGTACGTTGTTGACCCACTGTTATTTTAAAAAGCAAAATAATTATTTCCGTGTTTTTACTTACCTTATACAAACGATAGTCTTAACGTTTTGCGTACACTCAACAATTGCTATACCGCAATCTTGAGTGTTTAAAAAATTACTAAATCGATAAAAAATATTGCGAAAACCGACTCTATTCGCCGTTGGCGTGAAAATGAATCATTTTATCATGTTCTGGGAGTCTCACAAGTTTAAACGAACACACGCGGTTTACATGAATATTTTAAAATATAAGAATCGAATAAGAACTTCGTAAACTATTCCACGTTTTATCAAAATGATATTCATTATAATATTATATCATATGAGTACAAGCATAGCAAATATAAACTTTTTTACTCGTAAAAATCGTTTCTGACATGCGAGCTCGTTCGTACGAACTTACCCGAAATATATTATACCAACGTATTTATAGATAATAATAACGTATCGGAATCGAGTCGAAACGATCCCGGTAATCAGTTTGAATTGTTGATCAAGGATTTTGTTTGACTACAACGGGGTCGGCTCGGTCTTATCACCAGATATGTTAATCGATATAATGCTTCCCGAGTGAAACGCACTGTAGGCGTCCTTGCCCCTGATCCATGTGAGACTAAGTCGAACGGATTAAACGAGATAATCAGAACGATACTTTACTGCTCGAACTGCGTTATACTAGTGACAATGAAGTAAGTATACGAGAAAAAAGTAATAACAAACACCACGATCTTACACATCTAAAAATAACCGTTCCGATTTCGGTGACGTTACACGTGCATTATGAATAGTATTTAATTTTTAAAAGTATGGTTCTACATTGGCAATGATATAATTGTGACACTATAAATAACTTAAGAAATATAGATAATTAAATAATTGCCAATTATTTATAATTTATGTTTAAAGCAACTGTAAAGGATGGAAATGATGTATTGCTAAAAAAAATGAAAAGTTAAAATACAAAACCTCTTTTGAGAAAAATTGGTATTGCTAATTGATATTCCAAAACCAGGTTTTGGTACAACCAATGATGGTAATACAGCTAAAGTGTTATTTAAAAATACTTCAATATCAGATCGAATAACGGAAATCGACGAAGAACTTATAAAAAGATTTAATGTTATTCTACAAACTTCATCGTGTGGTTAACAGTTAAATTTTGAACAATTTGGAAATTATTGTTTAGAAACCGCTCAGTTTATAACCCTCAGATGTATATAGAACTTTATTACTGGTGCTACATGCCAACAACAATTGTGCATAAAATCTTATTTCATGGTGCTTCAATAGCAAAATCGTTTATGTTACCCATCGGACTGTTCTCGCAACGATCTCGATCTCGATTACGAGTCGTACGATCAAGAGACTTTATCGTCCAAAATATAAGGTAACAAACAAACCAATAATACTTGGATACAAAATATAAAATAATAATCTTAATAATACATCAAGCCACAAGACAGTTGTGATGACTGAATATACATAATACTAATCATTATAACAATTAATCAATGGTGGGCATTAACTTGTTAAAAAGTTAAAGTTAAGTTAATAAGTTAAATTTTGTAAACTTTTTAACTTAACTAGTTAGTTATTTTTGTTTTTAACTTATTCAGTTAATTTTTTTATAGTTTTAACTTAGCTTTTTATAGTTAATGTACAGTTAAGTTAATTTTAATTTTTTTTTTTATCACGTGGAACCATCAGACAAAACTTATTCTTTCGATTTTGGTAATTTATTTTTCTAATATAATAACATAATATCCTCAATTCATAATAATCAAATTATATTTCGATCTATAGATACTATAGTAAATAGTAATAATTAATATTCTATCTATTGTATAGACTTGCTATTTTCACGAGTTCATAATTAATGATCTATTCGGTATTGAATAATACGATTTTTGTTTAATCTAACTCTATAGTGTAGTTCTAAAAACAGGTTTAAAAATAAATAGCATAGTCTTTTAAAAGTGTAAAGTTAAAATTGGATATTAATAACACAGGTACCTGCTGGTAAATACGAAAATTCCAATGGACAAAACAAAAAGTCGTCCGAGATATTTATTAACTATAATTTATATTTCAGTATTCTGTGTATTCGTTATAAATATAAGTATAACATATGATATTAGAAAAATTAACTTTTTTTTAACTGAGTTAAGTTAATTTTATTTTTCATTTTAACTTTTAACTTATCGAGCTACTTTTTTTTTTTTTTTGTTAACTTTTAACTTTAACTGAAGACAATTTAATTGAATTGACTTAACTAACCACAGTTAATTATTTTCATTATTTTGCCCACCTTTGCAATCAATATAATGATAAAATCAACCACAAACAGGAGGGTAAAAAACCAAATATGTTACGGTTGGTGTTGGTGCTGGTGCAGTATGTTAGGACTCACAATTACGGCCGACTGGAATGCTCGATACCGTAATCCGGGTTTCCGAAATGTGCAATGAGTGGGCGTTAACGGCACTTCAGGCGATATCAATGACGAGACCGCTACGGGTCCGCGTGTGTAGACTGCGGCACTAAACGACCCAAAACAGTGTCGCGGTATGTCGGAGAAATAGCTGCCCCACGACACCAAAAGAACACCACCAAAAGGGGAACGGAAGAAAAAATACGTGTTCCACACGTTCGCTTGTCGCATACACACACTCACCGATACGCGTCATAACCTCACCACACCGTTCGGAACAAGGGCGTATTTGAGTTTAGGCCGTGGATGGGGGGGGGGACGAAACTAATTTTTCTTCCGTACAAAATTAAAAATAATTTACAGTTCATACTTACCTACAGCTCATGTTCCTGTTATAACGATAGACTGGTAATTTATATTCTTAATGATTTATACGTTACATTTTTTAAATAAGTCAATGTATTATATTCAAAAAAAAATACGAGTCACGGGGGGGGGGGGGGGCGAATGACTGGGCGGACCCGGAACCGCAGGTTGACGCGGACACGATGGCTAAGGTGCGTATGCTATTCGTCAAGCAGTACGGCGGCGCGCTGGCCAATATGTTTGGGCCGGTACGGGGTCGTAGAGCGCGCGAAGAACTTAAAGCACTACGCGTTCGTGCACCTTGAGCGGCGTGAGGATGCGCAGTCGGCCATGGACGCGCTGAACTGTTCCAGGGACGTGGCTTCGGGCGTGTGCCTCGATGTCGCGAGGGCCAAGCAGCCGGCGGACAAGAAAACGCGGCAGCGGACGTTGCGTAACCGGGAACGCCGGGTACGGAAATCCGCGGTCGCGGCTATGAGTCAACCGGCTCACTATGCCCCGCGGCCACGGGGACGCGTTACCGGGGCCAAAATACCGCGTCGGTTCCGTCCCCGCGGCCTCTACACCAAGTGCGACCGTCGCGGTTACGACTTCGGACTGCGGTAACCGTGCAATCGGTGCACCCCCGCCTTCACGTCGAGCATTCCAGTAGCCGAGGCCACGTCCGACAAGCGCAACAGCAAACAGTGTACAGTGCAATGTGGTCCGTCGCGACGATGGTAGACGGGTTGCACAAAAACGTCGGACAAGAAACTGTTGACATTTTTCGACCGAATTTCCACGAGCTGCCCCAAAAACGGTTGACGTCACCGTGGTGTTCACGTCTATCGGTCAACGATGTTTGTACGAGTTACATTCATTCTTTAATGTTAAGATACCCGCATTTTACGGAAAATAAAAATAAAAACGAAAAAAAAAAAAGTTGTTTCATATAATTTAATCAACATGACGCGAGTGTTCAAACAATTGTGAAACATGATGTATTACGTTTTCAAACGTATTTCGAAGTGGCCACTGATCGATATCATGGCACCTGGATACGGAAAGCGCAACGGATCACAACGAGCGTAAACGATGTTTACGTGAAATCCGATTAGACACAATATTGTGCCGATAAATAATGTCGAACAACTTTTCATTTTAGTATCCGTCGATAAAAAGGAATCTCATCTTAGGTGGTGTTTACGTTCCCCCGTCCAGTTCCCCACATATTTACGACTGTCACATCCAGTCATTACAATTGCTTCTTACGAATTACACCGACTGTGAGTTTATTATTGCCGGCGATTTCAACTCATCTTCAGCGCGTTATGAATTCAATTCCAAATCAGTTATTAACTTTTCTTCGACCACTGCTCAGTCTGATTCTATTCTTTTCGGTTATTCGTATTTTAATTTCCGTCAATTTAATCAAATACTTAATTATATTCATTTTTTATTACATCTTGTTTTCTCATCCCTTCCTATATTATCGGTTTCATTATCATAAGATCAAATTGTCCCAATCGATAACCATCGCCCACCGTTATTTATTAATTCCAAATGCATTTCTAACAATCTTCCACATAAAATCGAATTTTGGAATTTAAAAAAAGTGAATTTTTTTGATATTGCTTATGAATTAAATAAAATTAACTGGTCTTTAACATTTTTAAATCTAAACATTAACACAGCAGTTAATAAATTTAATTATATTTGTGAAGAGATTTTATTAAAACATGTACCCATGGTTACTTATAATTATAATTCATTCCCAATATGGTTTAACAAAGAATTTAAACTGTTAACAAAAGAAAAAAAGAGCCCATTTTAAATTTAAACAATCTAAACATGTTTCAGATTACACCACGTTCTCAAATCTTCGCCTACAACGCAAACAACTATCTCGTTCCTGTTATACTAATTTTATTTATAAAATTCAACTATCATTGATAGACAGCAAACCAAAACAATTTTGGAAATTTATTAAAGACCGTAAACAATTAAACACCTTCCCTAAATTCATGTTTTTGAATAATAATTCTTCACAGAATGGGTTTAATATTTCTAATTTATTTGCAGAACACTTTTCTAACTACCTTTTTCTCCTATCACTGTCTTCAGGCACATTCCCTGACTAATGAAAATCCTCTTACGTCCAGCCAGTTTTTAAAAACGGTAAACGTTTCAATATTATTAACTATCGTCCTACCAGCCTTATGTCATCAATTCCTAAGCTTTTCAAATCTAATTTACTTCCAAATGCAAATAAAATATTCTTTTTCACACTAGTATAAGTATTAATAATTTCTATACTGATTCCTCTCGGGTGTTTATTTCTAAAAAAAAAAAAAAAATAAAATAAAAAATTTCACTCTAGCGCTATAGCACTAGAGAAACTACGATCCTCCTACCCAAAACTATTATCTTAAAACAACCAATATAGGGCTCCGCACTTACATACTAGTACAACACTTTTTAAGTTCTGGGTGAAGTGAAAAACATATTAGCCTTACAACAATGTATTACATTTTTTAGATGTAAAACTATTATGAGCCAAGTGCGTCACATACAAAAATA